GTCCCATTTCGCGGTAGAAATAGGAACATTAGAATATGATGGTACATACAAATCCTTTTTAGTGTGGTCTCCTTTTTTGTTCGAATTTCTGTATAACAATAATTTCTTGCTAGAGTTATAGAAGCCTTTTGTTTGTTTATCTTCTGGAACGGGCCATTTAACATTGTACACGGTGAGCATTTGAGCTCTAATTATTTTTACCATTTTTCTTTTCTTATATCGAATATAAAGACAATATAACGTGCTGCTTGCTGCTAGAATAATTCCAAGAGCAAAAGGTGCCAATATATAAATATATGACATGGCAAATTAATGACAAGCGCACATTGGAAATAGCTTTAAAAGATGCATTGTTTGCTATACTAGTACAAACAAAATATATATTTAAATATTTATAAATATCCTTATAACCTTTTAGCTTTAGGCTTTATTAAATTTTCATAATATATCTTATTATAAAGTGGCTCTTATTTTATTCTTTATGAATTGTCTTAAATAAGTTATTAAAAAATAAATTGAGGAATTCCTACCTATTTTAGTCAACTGTGATGACTATATTCTAGTCTTAGTTCCTTCATCGGATCCCATTTTTGCCTACTTTCTATCTCATATTAATTTATCTATGCTTTTTTTTAATGTTTACGGGATTTGTTGGGGAAATAACGAATACATTTACATTAATGAATATATTTTTCTTAAGAATTTTTAATTACTATTATTTCGACTTACGAATTTTCTAAATCTATTTTGTTTAATTGTTTTGCAAATATTCGAATATTGATTTAATTTTTTTATTACAATAGGCTGGTTTTTGTCCAGATTAAATATATACTTCTGGTTTTGGGATTTATTTAAAAGTCTATTAATCTTTCAATTTATTCACTGCAATTATCTGATTGACGGGAACTCTATTATTTTTTTATAAGCTTTGAACACAGTATTTCGTTTGAATCTTGATATTTTTGTTTGGCTATGCATATAAGTAAAAGATTTGCCTACATCTTGTTAGGCTTTTTGCTATTCTTCACTATTCTTAATGCGTAGCTTTAGTTATTATTTCGTTCTGCCTTTTAAAAAGAACTTGCCATTCTCGTTGTCATAGCCTAGTCTGCAAAGTC